TTAGTTTGTTTTAGTTTTAAATTTCGTCCAAACCAACCCCCCTGCCCCCGCCATTGTGTCGTGTTAATTGAGTTTTAAAATTCATTCAAACTTGTCCCCTATTAGTATTTTGAGTCAAGGTGAACGTGTAGTGCAGGAGGTGAATATGAAGGAAGATTTGTGAAAAACAAGTTCATTTGAGCAACATCAACAACATGCAATTAACAATTAAAAGGCGGAATCATGTTTATATGCACTCAAAAACAAAACTTAACCCATGAGCTTCAAAGCCTAGTAGATAGGTGAACCAAGACTCAACTCAAAACAAAGTGAGTTGAGAAACCAATACCTTTGTAGATTCCTCTTTGCATAAGCAAAGGCTAATCACCCAAAGAGAGGGCCTTCATTCCTTGCATCTTAGATCCATGGATTTGGATGGATGAAAAGGTTTCTCCAAGTTCCCAAAATTGAGAACCTCTAAGTCTCCACACCAAGGCATATTGTAAAAGAAATGAGTGACCTTGAGGAAGTAAGATTGCTAGATGTTTTCCTCAAGGGTGGCCGGCCATTTCTAGAGAGAAAGGAGAGTTTGTATTTCTCCAATTTCCCCATAAACAACCCTTAATGAATTTTGGCTATTAAGTCACACTTATACCTTAATTCATTTGAGTGGCAAACTTGTAAATAAGTCCAAAACCCACTCTTTCTCTAAATGGCCGGCCTTAGGGTATTCTTTGGGCTATTTGGGCCTTTGTGAATCATTATTCATTAAGTTGTCATACAACTTAAGTTAATGGACTTGACGTTCGAAGCCCATTGGGCCTTAAGGTCCAAAACTATCCCGAGGTCTTCAACGAACTTATTCGTTTGATTAATAATCATATTAATTAATCCTTGCCATAAATAATTAAACCATTTAATTATTCTTACTCATCTCCGTTGAATCTTCAATCTCTACCTTACACGGTGTACGATCCATTAGGTTCCTTTTAGCGAGGCAGTGGGCGATTCAAACTCTTTCAAATCGATTGTGATTTGAAACTTACTTTCAATTCTCCCGTTAGTGATAATACACTTTTAGGGCTTCCACAAACCATGGTTGACGCCTAGCAGCATGTCATGGTTACCCAAGCTAATCAGAAGAGGTGTAGAACCTATTCAGTTTTAGGATTACAAATGCAATACGGTCTTTCTCTAATACAATACTCTTGACCACATTGTTTGGTTTGATAGTTTATTCATGTCTACTATCCAATGTGAGTCTTGTGCTTATATGATTACCTTGAATGTGATTTGGAACACATTCCTAAATCTCATTCATACTTTGGCCAAAGATTCTTAATCATATCATAGAGTATTCTCCCTCAAACAGTTTGAAGGTTAGAGATCCCTTGTTGCGCATTCACTTGCCTCCATGGCTAAGTGGCTTAACCCCAACGATGCCATGGACACCCTCCTGATGGAGTGACTTGGACATAATCAAAGATTAAGGACCTAACCACAAGACAACTGTGATGCCTCAGGTCAAAAGACTAATTTGCATTATCCCAACCATGAGTTCTCATGTGACATGAATATGAGAACTCTTCGTTGATCGTGTTCAGTGAACTCATTCTCTATTGAGCACCTACATACTTGTCTTGATGTCACACACACCAATGACTCGAGACTAGTCACTCTCCCTGAGAGAAGACATAGCACGTACTGATCTTAACGGACTGTCAATGCCCAATTGACAATCCTATGATCAGGAACGTTTAGGATGTGTCAACGAAAGAATGGTCTCATGAATCTAACTTCTTTAGATCGCATTCTTCCAATCACATATTCCTTGGACTTATCGTTTAAGCATATAACATTTATATGAGACGGCTCAAACAATAATCTTTGCCCTTTACATTTAAACTACATTAGTTTGAAATGTCCGTAAAGTATCATCATATGATTGGTTTTAGGGCACATTTCCAACAGAATAATCACGTGAAGGCTGACTCTAGCCCCAGGCGGGAACACTAATACCGGGGTGCAGCCATGATAAGCTCTCAACAAATGTATGTATACCAATGCAATACAACTCATTCAATCACATAATACTCACCTGAAGCTTACCAGAGTCTTCGTAGCATCACACAATACAATTCACAAATATAACAATGCAATACTTAAAATGTGACTTATTACGACATGGCATTCAAAGTATAAATCATTTTAAGAAAAATGTTCTGGAAATTGTAATCTACATAGAAAGCAAATGCCCACTCACCTCAAGTCCGCGCTACAACTCTCTAGCACGAATATTAAGGCGTCTCGAACGACCGGTGCCTAGAATAATGATTAAATATCACAACTCATAATTCTTATCGATAGAACATGTAACTTACGTAAAACACATTCCTAAGGACGTTCTAGAATGATTTGAGACCCATTGACCAAAAGTCAACCGTCGGTCAAAGATTGACAGTAGGGTCCACAACCCTACATAACTCAATCCAGAATATCCGCATCACAGATTTTTGATCCGTAACTTCCAAAGATCCACATTATTCTTCTAAAACATCATACTAAAGTTATCCAACAGTCGAATCTTCGCCAAACACAATTCAAGTGGCGGTCCACGATTTATTTTACGAGCTTACAAATCCAATTCGGGAAAATCCGTACATCGGATTCCCAATCTGTAAGTTCCTATTGTTCTCAAATATTACTTACTATAACATATTAAAGTTTGGTGACATGGAAGATCCGAAGCTACGACAGTAGTAAACTCTTGAGCCTGAGAATCCTAGGCCAACTCATCAAATTTTGGTGAGTCATTCGTCCAAATCTGTACCAATTTGTATATGGTTGAGTTACTCCGGCTAAATCTCGTCGAGTACGAAGTCAATTTCAACCCAAATCTTCTTGGATTGAACGTAATAGAATACTTCCATCATTTCTGGACGGTTTTGATTTAATTTGGTGAAGGAATAGAGTTGATTCTAAACTGGACAATTTCTAGATCTTCTGTGCAGAATCCGGTAAGCTCCAACAATGTCAAAGATCTAGAGGAGCCGATCCAAATCAAAAAAAAAAAAAAAAAAATAAAAAAAAAGTAAGAGGACCCGAGGACCCGTCCTGAATCGACCCGTTTCAATCGAGCTGGGTTAGGTCTGGTTTCAGTGATCAGATTTGCAATATCCCGCTTGGCCCTGCCCATATCCTTTTTAAGCGGGTCCGGTCCGATCCCTCCAAATTTGGGCCATGCTCGGCCCGTGCCTTCCCTTAATGACACATAGAAAAGATCATACTAACCACCTAGCGCAGCAAGGAGAGAAGGCTGCAGATTTCCCAATGCATGCTCTCACACAAATACAAAATTGGAGTTTCGGGGTTTCTTCCTTGTCATCGAAGTCATCTATGTATGTCATCAGTTCAATCATGAACTAAATCTTTTTGCTAAGGCTAGGGTGTACTCTTATCATGTACATATAATTCTCGTTATTTTCCATGTTGAGTGATTGTTGTTGTGCTTTGTTGTTATCAAATAATTGACCATTATTTGTGTAAAGAACTAAATTATGACTGACAACTGGAGTTTAGTAGATTGCTTCTCATAACAATTAATTACCATGAATTTCATAATCGAGTAGACATACTGGTTATGATATGTGCAGTATCATATAATTATCCATTAAGCGCAAAGGGTTTCGATTATATGTATCTGTGGCTAAACATAGCGTGGGATGATAGTTAGGAACACAGTTAGTATATTCTGACAGTAAATATTGACAAATCAAGGGATAATTATTAGCAACATGGAAATAATTTGATGTTAATATGAATAACAGGGTTTAATGGGATTGAGAATGAGGAACCTGATGTCCTAGTGTTCCTTACATTAATTATTCCATTCATTTTAGTACGTGTTTGATCAATTGTTATTTTTATTTGTGTTTCGTTTCTTTGCATATTTTAATTTGTCAATGTAAGTCATGTTTTATTTAAAATTAGTTTGAAGTTAATCACAATAGTAAGTTTTGGTTAATCTAATTCTTGTTAGAATGACAATCTACTTATTACAACATTACTTGAGCGATATTGTACACTTGCAATTACAACAAGAAGTTTTTGGTGCCGCTGCCTCGGATTGAATTGAATTTAATTTACTTTTTGATTTTTTATTTATTTTTATTTTCGTTTTTCAATTTTGTTTAGTTTTTCTCGGTGCATTCTCACTCTTTTTCATTGTTTCTTGAAGGTGAATGGTACGAGTTCCTCAGATTGTGTATTACTTGAGTTTGAACTGGAAATGGAGAAAAGACTTTATGAAATCTACAAGGAACAAAGGAGAGACAATGAGAAATAAAATTGACAAAGGAACACGATGGCGTTAGTGCATAATGAAACGAAGGGAGATTTTGATAGTCCAACCATTCTAGAATCACCATCAAGCATATTTCTTCCTACAGCTGCAAGAAATTATGCATTGAAGAAGATCCACTTTAATATGATGCTCTTTTTCATGGCATGAATACTGAAGATCCATTGGCACATATTAGAGATATTTTCAACATGGTGTCACCACAACCACAACCACAAACACCACCGCTATCACCAAAACCACCACAACAACCTCCACCACCGTCATTGTTGTCACTACTGCCAACACCACAACCACAACTGCCACCTCTTCCATAATTGCCATCACCACCACCGCCCCTTCTACCATTATTACTTTTGTACCAAAAAATTATTGGCACCACCACCACAACCACAAACATCACCATTGTTACCATAACCACCACAACAACCTCCACCACCATCATTGTTGTTGCTACTGCCATCATCACAACCACAATTGCCACCACTTCCATAAATGCCATCACCATCACTGCCCCTTCTACCATTATTACCTCTGTACCAAAACCCCCAAACCTCATTATTGGCACCACCACAACCACACAACCACAAATGCCACCACTTCCATAACTACCATCACCACCGCCGCATCTTCTACCATTATTACCTATGTACCAAAACCCCTAAACCTCACTATTAGCAACACCACAACCACAAACGCCACCACTGTCACCACAACAACCTCCACCACCGTCATTGTTGTCGCTATTGCCACCACCATAACCACAACTGCCACCACTTCTATAACTGTCATCACCATCGCCGCCCTTACCACCATTATTACCTATGTACCTTAACCACCAAACCTCACTATTGGCACAACCACCACTATAACCATAAACACCACCTCTGTAACCACAACCACCACAACAACCTCCACCACTATCATTGTTGTCGCTGCTGCCACCACCATAACCATAACTGCCACCACTTCCATAACTGCCATCACCACCGCCTCCCCTTCTACCATTATTACCTTTGTACCTCAACCACTAAACCTCACTATTGGCACCACCACCACCACAACCACAAACGTTACTGCTGTCACCACAATGAAAACGCCACCTCTGTCACCACAGCCACAATTGCCACCACCACAGCCACAACCGCCACCACTTCCATAACTGCCATCACCATCGTGGCCCCTACTACCATTATTACCTTTGTACCCCAACCACGAAACCTAATTATTGACACCACCATCGTACCTGCATAATTAATGTGTTCGCCCCCACCCCCACTGTCACCGTTGTCATCGCCACCACCTATGACGGTTACTAACATCAACATCATCATTGTCGCCACCGCCACCACCAACAACGCCACTGCCACCATCACAATCACCACCATTTTCGCATATACCTCTACTATCTCTACAGTCTACACCCTAACCACCACACCTTACCATTGGAACTACCACCATTCCTTTAACATTGCCACTTCCATTACTAGCATTGTCATTGCCACTGTTATTGTCGCCACCACCCTTAGTATCATGTCAATTTTTGTCATTATATTCAATTATATCACTTACATTGAAATTTTCCAAACGTTTGTACATTGCTCTTTATATTCACAATACTTTTAAAATATAGTCTATCAAACACTCAACTACTTTCTTTTATAATTGATTATTCTTAAAGCATAACAATAACATTTTATTTAAAATAAAAATAAAAAAAACAGAGCAATTACAAACTAGACTTAAGTGGCGCTCATTTTTTAAAACTTGCAAGGCCTTGTTTGGCAACCCATATAACAGGCCGGATAGCATAATTAATACGATTCCAAATGTTTGGTGCAATTTTGTACTAAATAGTAACAGACTAATTGTACAGGCCCCCCACCCATTTTATACGATGTAGACCTATTAAATTATCCAACCAAAAACCTTTGGGGGGCGTTTGTTTGCCCTCACTAAGTTGGACTGGACTGGATTGGACTAGCTATTAGTCCAATACTGTGTTTGTTCCATGCTGGGACTAACATTAATGAGACTAAAGGGGACTAGCATGGACAAAACCCTTCACTAAGAGGTCTTAGCGAGACCCCCCAATAACCATGGGACTAGCTAAGACTATCCTCTCTTTCTCATCCTCGTCATGCTCAACGACCACTCCCAACAGACTCCTCGTCATTTCCGGTCACCTAGATCAATCATTAACTTTCCGACTCTCTTTCAGATCCATTTCACAACCAACTTTCATATAAAATATACCAAATTGAAGCTGGGAGTGACAAGATTACGATTTTACCTGAATCGAGGCTAAAATGTGGTCGAATGTGGCCGAAAAATGGCCTGGAAGTCCCGGCCTGTTTGGGCTTCTTCAAATCCATGACAGATTCGAGCATTCAAAGCTAAGATCTCGGTCCAGGGATGGTGATGAATTTTTTGGCAGTGCTAACTTCATCCAATTTAACGAGGGTTGGCCGGAAAACACATCAGGAAACCTGCAACTCGTCGGGAAAATTGAAGCCGTGAGGTTCCGTTCGAACAACGCATAGTTAGAGAGGGAGGGAGGACAGAGAAATAGAGACTGGAATCAATAAGGAGTTTGACCAGGAATGAGAAAGAGACATGAATTGAGGGGTCTAAGAGGAAAAAAAGAGGGAGAGGGTGGGACGATGAGAGAAGAGGAAAAGAGTGGGACGGAAATGGTAGGAAAAGATGGAGAAAAAGATAAGATCATAATAAAATATTAATAATTTATATATTAAATAATATAATATTAGAATTTGTTATTATCCAGCTTCTTAGTCCAATACTGCACCAAACGCTTCACTAAGTTAGTCCAGTTTAGTCTAGTCTAAGCCAGTCCAGCTTAGTCCTTGAAGCTAATCTAGTCCGAGATAGTCCGGCGCAACAAACACCCCCTTGTATTATTAGTCGGTAGTCTCTGGCTCTCTCCATCCCTCTCGTCACATGATCTTCATGCTCTCACCTCGCTTGCTCTCCGTGCTCTCACATCGCTTGCTCTCTCCTCTAAATCTGAGGTTCTTCCTCCTATTCTTCTTCTTTTCTTCATTTTCTCTCTGTTCTGCCCTCCTATTTTTCTTGCACTTTTTCTTCTTCTTCTCACTGTTATTCCCTCCTCCTCCTATTTTTCTTCCAACTTTCTTTCAATTGATTGAGTACTGATTTGGTACTGAGGTGTTTTTATAAAAGTAGGTATCAAAAAAAACCAAGCTCAAAAAGGTGTTTGGTAAACACTTAAAAACAGGTTTTGGGTGAAAAAAAAAATGAAAACGTGAAGTAGCAAAAATGAGCTTATTTTCATAGCACAGTAGAAGCAGTTTTTTTTCAAAGCACAACAATATCAAACCAACTCTGAATCTACTTATTCTTTCTCCCTAATTTTGCAATTGCTAAAGAACCCATTTGCCTCCTTTGCGTCATATACTTCGTAACCCTTCTACTTTTGCTGGGCTGATTTTGCAGCTGAAAAATAAAGAGAAGGATTGGGGAAAAAAAGATGAGAATTTGGAAGTTGGGTTTTGCTGGGTTTCTTTTGTTTAGGGGAACAGACCCCGCACTGAGAGAATTTCAAATAGGAGACAGACTATTTTTTTCGATTTGCATGATTTGATTACTCTTGGGTTTTTGCCATTTTTTGATCTCGAAGCTTCAGTTTTGATTGATGGTGGGGTGTTCGTAGGTTTGGGATATCTTTTGGATCTGCTTTCTAAATTTGATGTTCAATTGGATGTGTGCTATCTTATGCATTCGTATATTTTGTGAACTTGGATATAATCGACTGGATAAAAACTAGTTTGAAGTCTCTTATCAGGTATAATATCCAATACAGGATAAATAATAGGCCGTTAGTCCGATATGGCACCAAACGTCCGACTAATATAGTCAATATCATTCGAAGACTATTTATCCTATCCAACTTAAATATTCAGTATAGTCCGAGCTGCTAAACAAGACCTCAAATGTCTTATTGAACCAAGCAGGGACATACATAAGATTTATAGATACTGTTGTATGTGTCCCCTTACTTGTCCGCCGAAGACGCACACAAAATAGGGACTTGAAGGATAGAAAATGGTATTTAACCTTTGACCCGAATCTGCCCCATTTGGATTTTGGAGTAATTATTCTTTTTTATACCATGGTGATATTGATTCATGTCTTCTTCAATATTTTAGGACCATATAATGGTGAAATTGTGATGGCCTCTTGGGTTGGAATATATTACATTTCCTATATTTGTGGACTTGAAATATTAATTTTTAGTTGAATTTTCCTTTTAATTTGTTGCAAAAAGTCTGAGTTGTAAAGAGACGGGGCAGGGAATCCATTCCCATTGGGGGTGGGGATGGGAATCCCCGATTTAAAATTACGGGTCTGAAGGTTGTCATCATCCTTCGTGAAGAATTTCCACATGACAAATGTTTGCACCCTTTTTGAGAGCTTTCAATGTTTAAGAAATTCATCATATTTATTGAGAAACAAACTTTGCTGCTTATGCTCATGCAAACTATGAACTTACTCTAGCTAATCTTCGTATTTGATTTTGTAAATTTCCCAAGGTGTAGTACGAATTATTGTACAATAATAGGTCGATATAGCTATAAGGGAAGGAGAGATTTTCAATGTGACCAGAACACAGGATGGTACATCGACGTGTCTTTATACAAATGGTGAGATTATTGTGTTAAAATATTAACAACAGTAAAAAGTAAAATTTCCCTACCACTTATATAATAAGTGGTGTACCACTTGTGTTACACTGGACAAGAAAAGTTTCAAAGAGGAGCTTCTTCGTACGTTTTTCTTTTTGTCGCCAAAAGTAAAATAAATAAATAAAACACTTAAACTTCGCAATGTATTCATCTCTGCTTGTAATTAGAAGTCAAAAGTTCATCTCGTGACGGTTTTGATGCCAAATTATTATTGGCTCGTTCTAAAACTTAGCCCAACTCCCACCCCAATGTCGTTGTATAAAAGCAAATTACTATGAAAGGGGAAAGAGAAAGAATCCTAGTATTCCATTTCCAGCTAAGATGTGTGTCCAATGGTAAGTAAATTTCAATCAAGTCCATAGGTAAAAGGGAAAACCTGGTCCAATACAAAATGCATTCCTCCAATCACAAATAGAAGCACGTCCATGTCATCACACAGCCGCTTTTGGTCATTTGTGTAAAGTAGAAGGCCATATACACATCAGACTAATTTACCTTCTCAAAGAATTCAAACAATATCAAAACACCAGAACATAAAAATAAGGAGCTAAATTTACACTGAGAAGCATTCCGCTATTTCCCTCTTCCTCTGTCTTTGGCCACTTCCATGCTTTGCAGAAATTCGCTTTACGGTAACCCCGCCCCGTACCAGGTATATATTCGTTGTTGTGTAATTCATTCATAAATCACCCTTGCATATGAAGAAACTTCAATTATTTTTATATTCTGCATCCGGAAAGCAATACTGTTTTTACCGGTATCATCCCCTTAGTCTAACAACAACGCAGGAAATATCATCTTTACTGTCTCTTTTCAGCGCTTCTGCGGTTAATTGCTTTGCCGCCTTCAGAGGGTCTTTAGTCTTTCTTGCCATATCAACTGCCTCTTGATTTGCCATGACCTGGATTATCAGAACATAAAAGAAAAGTAATTTCTAAGAGACTTTCAATTTAAACTTTGCTATGACACCAAGGCATGCACCGGTTAGGTGATTTTTTCCTGCTTTTTCTAGAGTGCACAATGCACCAAGGAGAAGAAGGATCAGGGAAAACGATTCACCTTCCAAAGACCATCACTGGCAATGATTAGAACATCAGTACTATTGTCTACGTAGATATCTTGTATGTCCGGATCTGATCGCAAATGTGACTTCAGGCTTTTGTCTCCAAAAGCACGAGAAACTGCCAGCTGCCCATTGACTCTAGGAACATCTCCTGCAACGGAAAGGGTTCAATAGATGTCAGTTCAACGAGAGACTTAACATAAGTCAATTGCAACATCGTGTTACAGCAATAAATGCCAATGTGCTCAATATTCATTAACACAAAAGGCCCAGAACTGGCTGTTGCAACTTAGCTGCATCGGACAAGTATTTCAAGACTTAATCTCTTTAGCATAGATGGCAAACTAATATTAAGGTTAATGGAATCAAGTCAGAAAACTTTTACTTTCTTTTTTAACTCTCTAAAAGCTTAAAGTGAAAGCAAGGATTGCATTAGACTACAATTTAAAAGAAAGAAGCATTGCAGGAAATGATTAAAACATGTAAGGCAACTCTAAGTGCCGTAAAGATAAAAAATAATGCAGGGGATGATTATAACATATAAAACACTGAAAGGACACAATCACAATTTTTCTAGATGTCTAAACATCACAGTTGA